AGTTTTTAAAAAGTAAAACTCCTTTACGTACCGATCAAAGTCCTATCAAACTTCTGGATATAAGTTCCGATGCCCTTTTTCCTCAGTTGTATCATATTTTCTCTCTTTCTTATTCGAGCGGTGTATTACATTTTGCGCGGAAAGAAGCTATTATATACGTGCAGTACATAAGAAAGAAATTAAATTACTTATCAAAAGCTGTCATCCTATTTACTATTGTCTGAAGTTAGTAAAGTGTTTAAGAAAGTGCTTTGTAGACAATTATACCCTTTTCTAACTACACCAAACTTTTATAACCATAAATACTCTTCTTCGTCTCACTCACCGGCTTGGAAAAAAGAACAAATTATTTAGCATCTCATTTGATTTTGAAAAGACATTGGACACTGTACCACATCGTATTCTATTACAAAAACTGACTAAAGCAGAAATATTCGGAATTCTTTTGAAGTGGTTCTCTTCAATCACACTCCAATAGTTTCTGTTGGCTCTGCCTTTTCTTCCTCTGAAGAAAGATTTTTTATACCTTTCATTTCTGCAAAGCTAATAAGCTGCAGCTCTTGGAAGCATATTGTGAATTCTGTGAAGGAAATTTTTATAATTTAATCTAGGATCTGATTGGAATAGAAGATGAACATTTCTGACCTAATATAATCCAACATGCTTTTATTATGACTTTTTAGAGGAATGGTGAAGTACACAGAATGAATACACTAAAGCAATACGTTCAGTTGCATTCTTTCTATCCAATTAGTGACATATTAAGTTTTGTATCTCAGTTTAATGGGCTTACTCTCAGTTCGTCTCAAATTGACTTCTCAATTCGTCCCCACTAATTCGTCCCAGAAGTTTTTTTCTCAGTTCGTCCCATCAACACTTCTCTCTCAGTTCGTCCCATATCAGTTTGCACTTAATTAGCTTTAATATAATTGTTCGTACCTCTTGCGTACGGTGATATATATGACTGTTGTGTTTGTGTAAGCAGTTATATTAGCAATTTACAATAGCATCAACATTCGGAAGTGTTGGAAACATACGACCAGTTGCAAGACCAGGACTGGCAACTCTTGCTCTGACGACCTCTTGTGAATATATTTTTGGAATAGATAGTGTTTCCTCTCTTGCACGTTTTTTCATATTATCAACAGCAATATCGACGAGGACTTTGGTGGTATCTGGTTGGCATGTATGCGCTGATTCATTTTGGTGAACAAAACAATTTAACTTATTTAGGTTTAAATTTGTGATAGTAGTGGCTAACACGACACATTTTGCCCGGTACGCGCACCTAGTCTTGTGTACAATACCCATCGCCGTCGTCTAAACTATTCGATGGTATTTTGCTACGTATACGGACCTTATATTGTCTACAATACCATCGCCGTCGACTAAACGATGGTACAACACTTTATTTATTTTTAGACGCGAACATAGATATCTGATAGATCAGAAAAAAATATATATATAAATATATGGGACGAACTGAGAAAAAAAGCTTCGTGGGACGAATTGAGAAGTCAATTTGGGACGAACTGAGAGGACACCGTTTAATGGCAAATTCACTATTGACGTAGGATTTATATAATTCGGAATCAGATTGTGACATCAAAGTTTTAGGAGATAAAAGATGTTTTAATCAAAATCCAGATAAGTCAGAATCAGCGTATTCCACATCAATGGTATCTCTGATTTTGATTCATTTTAAGACTTCGTCTTGACCATGAATATGTGAATGGACGTTTTGGGACTTCTACCCTCCCATCGTCTCGATCATTCAGGCAAGTTCCTTCGAGCGGGCTTTTGTCCTGCTGTTTTTCACTTTTATCCGTTCAGCTGAACCAAAATATGTGTACTTTGCCGTTTGAGAAAATATTTTTGAGAGAAAACGTTTAAAAACCGAAGTGTTTTTGAAAATTTGGCGAGCTTTTTAGAATTTTAAAAATTTCAGTTTTTTAGAATTTTCTCTCTCAAAAACATCTTCTCAAAGGAGAAAGCACACATATTTTGGTTAAGCTCGACGAGCTCTATGCAACTATCTGTGAATATCACCAAAATCATTCCAAAGGAATTTGTGTTTCGTACATCTTACTTTAAATCATTGTTCAATGTATTGAACATAATCTTCACTGGAACGAGTGTTCATCAGCACTCATGAATCAGTTTCGAAGAAAGTGGACAAAGAGAAATGTATTTAGTTTCTTGATTCTTTTTTATTTAAATATAATGTACTACACAAAAAAATAAACTTTGAACTTGCGTTTATCTATACATCATCATCTTTCATGTTATATGTAAATTGAATAGAGAAATTGAATAAAGGTTCCAAGGAATTTTTGTTGAAAAGTAAGGAGAGATTTAGTATAAAAAATCATAATAAATTAAAAAGTAGCGCTTCTTGTTTAAAGATATAAACAGAAACTGACCATCAATATGGTTAGCCTGTAGGACTCAGTACACTAATCAATATGTAAGTACGTTATGTAAAAAACACAGAAAATAATTTAGTTGTACAGTTTCAACCAGAATGAATATTGAGTTCTGGCGTACAGTAATGAAAAAAAGGAATTATTTTAGATTATATACATGATTATGTAAAATATCAGTGCTATCTTCTAAAACTAAAATAGCGATATCTGTCATTAACTTTCAATCTAATTTAAAACGTTGGATAACATTCATAAAAAAATTAGTAAGTGATATTGAAATATACTAATTTTGAATATAAACTATTTATTTAAATAGTTCTTTTTTACACAATCAACTGAAATAGCTGATAAAATATTTGAAATCAGTGTTTGATACGATAAGAAGAAAATAATACTAGGAAAATTAAAAACACATTCGATAGATGTTAAGGATTATAAACCAATTAAATGTCGATTTTATTCAAAAATTATCGACAAGAAGAACGATAACATATTAATATGATGATTAAAAAACACAATAATGCTGTAACACTAACAATACGACTGCATAGAATTTTATAATAAGAAATTTCTATGTTTTTAATTAAAAAAATAAAGAATTTATTATTATGGTTTCAAGTTATTGAAAAATGAAAATATATTTTATTCAGTCTAAGAGAAATTAATTTGCGACAGATCCCTAGTTATTCCAGTCAAGATTTGATGTAAGTCTTCGATTTTTTCTACATTCTGCAGTTCGTAATCATCTGATATATCTGAATACTGAGACAATGCTGAAATAGTGCGAACTGTTTCTAATCTAAAGTGGAGATAACTGTGTCCATGGACTCTGTTCATGTTTCTTTACTCACCAATGCTGGCAACCATCTACTGGCATTAAATGCACTTTATTCGATAGGAAATGAAGATGTTGAACGATGTATCGTATTGTTCGGCGAATATCTTTCCATGTATGTAAATCATCAATACATATTTCATTTTATCTATGATCTATTGAAAGGAATAATCGGTCAGGAGTTCTATTTGGAAGGGTTTGAGTAATGTATAAGGGCTATGTAGCGCTATAATCATTATCCGATAATGGGGCGAATCTAAATGTGATCTCAGGATAAGCATAAAAGTAGCGATCAGAAGACATTTTTGATCGTACATGTCATCAGTTTCTCTTACTACCATTCGATCGTAAAATGCGCATAGTTGGCGACACGCAGCTTGAAAAACACATGCGTTGTCTCTGACAGTTGCTTTCCATATTGTGTTGTCAATCCGTTGTCGTTCGATTATGGCAAGACGTTGACCGTTCGTATGCTGATCTATTTGCATTAAATCAGATCGAATAATTTCGATGGCGCGTCAACCTTTTTACTTCCTCATGTAACCATCGCATACCCTAGTTGTACCACGCAATATGATCATAAATTAACATCATTTGGTAGTGATTGTCTTCGCATGCATTTGGTTCAATTCGATATGACTAACGTATCTCTAGTCCATTCAAAGTTTCAAACAAGACTCCATGACATAATTCACTGCATTAGCTACTGTTTACTGCATTCATCTTTCTTCCGCAATTGAAAGATTCAATTCAGAAGAATATTTTTTAAGCGCTTTCGATGCACAACATAGGGTTCTATCTCAGAATTGAAAGTATTCTCATTTTCTTTTCGATCGATTTGAAACCAAACTTACCTCTTTTCAGTTGGTCATATAATTATGAATAGAAGCGGAAAAATGTGAAAATTAAAATGAGGAATGGGAAGAGCGAATAATTATAAACGGTTTTAATCAAAAGAGGGATTAGTGACAGGCACAAAGTCGTTTCTCCCGTTTTCGTTCTCATTCGAGTACTGCGGATGTCATACTTTATTTCACACAGAACATTTACGACAATTTGAAAAAAGGTACTAATTCAATTTTAGTGTTATTTGATTTTGAGAAGGCTTCCGATATGGTTTCCTTTGAAATACTCCTGACGAAGCTTTCTTCGTTGAGAGTGAAAGAGTATGCCTATAAGTGGCACGAAAGAAACAGAATTATCATTATCTTCTTGTTTTATGCATACAACCTTGACGCCGTCTAAAACGGATTTAAATTCCTTCAGTCGAAGTAAAAAACTTGTGTTTCACCGACTTTAATCTGTGATATGGACATTCCTGTATCTCAAAAAGTACAAGAAACCCTTTTCTAAAAAATTATTAGTGTTATTTGATTTTGAACTATTTACTATTGCTTACTTCATATCATGTTACTTTATTCATCTCATTTCCACTTTCCTAGCTAACATAGCTTCAAGGGTTTCTTTTTCCGATGGTTGTCCTGATAGGCCCGAGAAACTAAAGCTAATCTTTGATATTTAGAGTCAAGCGATAGTAGTACCATCGTGTTGCACACCATGAGAACTAACGGTGGGACCCTTCGATCCGAAAAATGTCGGCATCCCGACGGGATCTCTGCGCCGTACAACGCAACTCACCGCGTTCATTCCGAATATGTAAAAATCTCGAGGGCCGTTTCTCTCGCAATAAATCAGCAAATTTTGATATTGATAAATATTTATGTGCTTCTCAATCAGAGTCATAAATCATGAAAACACAGTTCATTGTCATCTGTTCGAATAACAAGACATCTTTGTCCAATTAGGGTTGTTCTGTTCACACCCTTATCGTACGTGAAAGTTTGTTCTAATTTACCATCTCTGTCAATGATTTGAAGTTGCTTATTCTTCGGCTCATGTGTCAGCCATTGTCCATTTGGAACAGAGAGAAGAACATATCCGTATTCCAACCAAGGAAATGTGATGGTGTTGAGGATGTTCTTTGATCGATCTCGTACATGAAACTGATTGTATTGACCAACTACCAACACTGTTACTCCTATATGACTGCCATCACATGATAATAGAATACTCATAATCCACTCATTCTGTTGACAGGACACAGGTGGCTGCCATCGCCTCATCATTCTCCATTCTCCACTCATATCCCACTCTTCAACAACTGATCCGTTCTCACTAGTACTCACCAACAATGTTTGATTTGCACACGTACACCTCAAAAAGTCTGCTTTCTTCTTGTCTGACACTTGTTTGATTTGTGTCACTTCACTTCTTTGGACATTCAATGAATGAAGAGTTGTAGAAGTCAGTATCAGAAATCTGTCGAGAAACGATGACCAACATATATCAGAGACACAGTCCTCACCCCATTGAAGTGCGTTTGTCTTGTGACCAGTGCGATCAGTCAAACACAGTGTGTCTTTATCACAGTAGAGCAAGTCCCTCTCAGACGCTGCAATCGCCCAATAATCCCCATCCACTTTGATCCGTCTCTGTGGTCTGACTTTGAGTTTGTTGAGGTCGAGTTGTTTAACTTCATTTATCCTCTTTTCACTTCTCTTTTGTGATTTGTACACATGACTCTGGGGCTCCAGCTTTCTCACTTTGATCATTCTCTTCCACTCACACTCATGACCACTTTCGATCACGATCATCGATGACATAGCCTGCATATCTGCATTCACCTGCTTTATTTCATTCATCCATCGATCGAGATCGTACTCCACATAGTCCTCATCGGCCATTCTCGGTCGAATCTCATCTGTGATTCGTTTCAACTGCTTCTTCGACTCAGCGACAATGTTTCTCACTTCTTGTCGTGCACGATCAGCAGCCATCTTCAGCTTGTTCATCCACTCCATCTCCCACTTCTCAATCTCATCGAACACCTTCGAAGTGGTGACCTCACATGTCTGGTCGACGCTTTGTTTGACAAAGTCGTGCTCTCGAATGATGATGTCGAGTTGTGTTGAGAGTTGTTGTCGATGTTCATTGAAGTCTTTTCGACAGAACATTTGTTCACAGCCCGAACATAGCGAGATCGCCGCACCCTTTTGACATATATTACATTTTCTGGGTGTCGTCAAGTTCTTTTCTTTTGCAAATGAAGCCATTTCCGATTACCGCTGAAATTAGAGTAAGACGAGTTTTAGGTTGAATATGTTTAGGCTGAAAAGCTGTAGAACTGCTATTGTTCTACAGGTATTCAGTCTTATTGTTGATAAGCGTCAGTCTTCTTTCACAAATCAGAAGGAAAATTGTGTACAACTGATTTATGTGCTAAAGGGATTTCGATCGACATGATGATTGTCTCATCGAGCCGTATCATGCGCAGTTATCTTAGTGAAAGAGTCGAAATTTGACAAACATCGCTCTCAGTGTGTCGCAGATGCTAATGATTATTTCCTATGAGTGATCGTATGTCGACCTACCCTTTCTGTCTGTAATTAACTTTCGCTGCTCGAATAGAGATTTGTGTATGGTCTTATAGTGTGGCTGTTGTCGATGATTATTCTTTACGCTTTCATGAAGTTAGGCACTCGAAAGAATGAAAAGTGTTTCTATGCAACAATCAGTTTTTGTCAAAAGCATGTGCTTTATCTTTTTTCACATTCAGACTCAGGTAACAGAAGAAATCTTTCTTTTCTGCTGTAGAAGAAAATCGCAATTCACATACCCTGTAATGTTTTCTTAAAAATGTTGCTATATGCTATTCTTAAAAGATTTTCAAGACTTCGATAACCTTTTCTGTGTTTGACTAATCTGTTTAATTCTGTGTAACACTTTTCTCGAGTACCCTTGAAAGGAGTTTCAATAGTTACAAGATCCTTTCGAACACATTTTCAACATCGATTTGCAAAAGAAAAACTCCAGCTAACTAGTTATTTTCTGATACATTGGGCTTTCGATTTTACTGTTGAAAAGGGGGATAAAGTTCATTGGGAAATATGGTGATGACTTTATCTGGAGATGGTATAACTAGAGTATTTGAGAAAATTAACACAAAACATATTTTCATGATGTCGTATGAATTTACTTGAGCTGTTCAAGTGCATATGATATGAAATTAGTTCAAGATTAAGCTATATTAAGATTGTAATAGCGACTAGATTCAGCAGTAACACCACTGTTTTCGTTAGTTTTTTAAAGTTTTGTTTCTTTAAAATCAACTTTCACAAATTTATGGAAGAGTGGTGGTGAATCTGCTGTCGAGGTAATGTCGGTGTATATAGAGCAAGAATGGTTTTATTCTCTCAACGCTTACTTCTGGTGTTATTGTAACTGAATTGCGATTCGGAATATTTTCTCTATGAACAGTAACAGTTTAGTTTTGAGGACACTTTTATTAAATGCTTTCAAGAGAATTTTTAATATGGCTTTTGCCATTTTGAATGAGTTATTAGCATTATTAGAATCGTTTTCTTCTCATTTTCATTTTGTTGATTGTGACTACTATTGTCAGCTAGTCCTGCGCACAAACATTAGCAGATTGAAACGTAAAAGATGTACTATAAGAAAATTATTGTAAAAGATTTAGATCAGCAATATAAAAAAAACCTTAAAATTTTGAGTCTTCCAATCCTTTTTCCTGACGTCACGACTGACTTTCAAACCGTTCTGCCAAGTAATTGATGGAAGTATGACACATGATACATTTATCTAGCATGTAGTACTGATCATGTTCTAACAGTAGAAATCTACTGCCATTCATTCAATGTACTGCTATGCGGTTACAGAAAAATCTAAAGTAAAATTATGGAATTTTAAAGGCTCAAACATATTTGATTTTCCTAAGGAGAAGAGAAAAGATAAGAAAGATCTGAGTTTATGATTACATAGCCCATATGACATTCTTGCGTTTTATCGCTCAAATTTTTCTCGTTCATTGTCCTTGACGAGATAATTGAAAAACTGTGAGACCATGGTAAACTGTGTGAACATCCACGTCCATTATTCTACTGTCCACGAATACAGGCTAATTTCAATGTGATGATGCTATATATAATAGACGGAGGAACAGTAACAGAATATTATCATACTTCGCAAGTACTGAAACATCAAAGTGCCGGCAATATAAAACCAACTTCGACTTTTTTATTTTTCCATCTCTTTTAAGGATTTTCGATTCTCGGCTCTGGAAGCCGAACCGTGGTTTTCAAGTTAGAACCAGAAAATAATTTTTCAGACAGTAACAATTTAATGATCGAAAGGATTCTTTTAAACGATGACAGGCAAATATATCTTTTTGTAGCTTTGTCCATAGTGTTTTCATCTTGTAAAAGAAAGGCAAGTCAAAAAGTTTCGGTTCTGAAAAAAAGAAACCGCCTAAGAAAGCGAGATTCCGGTTCCATTGTGAGAACCACCAGTGGGATTTCGATTGCCGATGAAACACCGGAAATAAGAGAATCGCGGTTCCGGTTCTTCACGAGAACCGAATATCCCAATTTTCTTTGGGTGAGTCTATTGCCACTCTCTAAGAGTGTCAACAAGAAGCTATTGCCACTCTATGGGCGTGCCAACAAAGAGCTAAGAAGAAGACATCTTGTGAATATTATCCTTGAGGTTCATAGCAAGTAGTTTTATTCATTTTCTCAGACTAATTGAGTATCAGTATAAATAATATTTTGCCTTTTTCTCTCAGTTTCTTTTATATCCATTTCGTAAAAATGAGCCTGCAAATTAATCTTCAATAGAAAATGATATTTATATAGTATTCTACTCTGTTGAAATTTATAGCTATAATTTCACTTTTATCAAAAAATATACCCGTCCGCGTAGATTAACATTCTTTTTCCGATAGATATTTTCTTATATAAAGGCATGATTTATCTTTATTTATACAGCGTTTCCAGACAGCTTCACTTTGTTCTCTTCACTGCGAGACTTTGGAAAACAACTCGAAAGCGATCCGTCTTTTCTCTTCACTACTTTTTCACTATACAGTTTTTCTTTAAAAATGAATATTAATGTGAATATTATATACAAAATATTAATAAATATTACTGGTTGAGTAGTGTAGAAATCAAAAGTTCAATTCAACTATTCCGGCCATTCAACTATTCAATTATTCAAGTGTTAATTCAATTCTACATTCACTCTCACCACCGCCAGAAGTGAAAAGTCGAACGAATAGTTCAATAATTGAAATAATTTTTCAACTATTAATAGTTGAATTCAACTTTTGACTTCTGCACGTATGTACTAATTAGAATTAGTGTCAGAAACGAGATATTATGTCTTCATAGACACGCCAAGGGAGTGGCAATAGCTTCTTGTTGACACCCCTGGGCGTGTCAATAGCCATTCCGATTTTCTTTTCCGTCATTTTCTATTCATATCGACGTTAGACTTATAGGGTAATATATATCGATGGTTTCAGTGGCGGCGGAGCTACTGAGACCCTCAGCCTCACCTAGTTTTCGACCTGACACTTTGTTAAAACATGCAATTTTCAAGCCCTTTTAAGCGCTGGTAGCAGTTTCTGTCCATGGAGAGAACGAACATATGCACTTCTCTTATAAATATTGGTCGTGGTGCCTGTCTCATGCTCGGTTTACAATGACGCAAAGTCGTTTGAATAGTGCATTTTTGCAGAGATGGGAGAAGCAAACATTTAAAGGGCTAAAAGTGTGACAGATATAGAAATACGAAACTATAATAAGACTAATGAGCTACACAAAACTCGTGTTTTTCAACTCATTTGAGACTTCAAGCTCTGATTCATATTCTCAGAAACCTCCAATCAGGTTCGCGGCTTGGCCACGTAACGCGACACTTCGCTGATTAAGTTTTTAAAAGTTTTTTGTTATCCGAAAACCGATATGAGCACATCACTAGATGCAGTTTTTCGCCCTGATTATGAATCAGACCTCCTTAGCAAATAAAAATAAAAATTTCAGTAAACGGCTTGGCCAGCTAACGATACACCAGAGTGCGGAAGTATGAAGCGTTAAATGAAGTGATAAAACTAATCTTATGTGAAAGAGCACACTTTAAAGTGTAGGAAAATAATTTTCGTTTGTTTTTATTAGTATCTGAACACATGGAAAATATTCGGTGAACATTGAGATGAATCATCAATAACGTGGTACGTTTGATACCATATGTTTTTATTATTTTTTCTCGTTCTTCTTGATGTTTCAGCTTAAGAAAAATACATTGCTGGATAGAGAAGAAGTTGTTCTGTTTACTGATCGTATCAATTCTTGTTCTAGCTTTTACGTGCTTTTGAAAATTAATCAGAAAACTTGCGCATTTTTAATGAAACTCCGTAACGAAAACTCGGTATTTTAAAAATTGTTCAAACAAGCTAGGAAAATTCTGTAAGTCATTTAGCATATTAAGATTCTGTATTTCTAGGACTACCTTTTCAACTAGTTTTTATTTGAAAAGTGATACGATATAGTTGCAAAAGATAGCGTTACGGAATTTCACTTACAAGGGAAGTTCACCAACTGTTCGCTTTCCGAACGAAAACTAGAATAAAAATAAAAAACGAAAACTGGAGAATAATAGGTTATCGACCATACTGATTCCCAATATGACCATGGGGGTTGCCCTTAGTCCTTCGAAGATCCGGTTTTCTGGAAAACCAGTTTTCAGAAACTCTGAAAAATAATCAAAATCTTTCTTAATGAGGCGCAATTGTAGCCCGTAAATTTCTAATTAAAATAAGACATCTCCCCGCTCTACATGACCTTTCTTTGCAAAGTTATAGAATTTACATGAAAAGATCTAAACTAATTTCTCCTTATTTCTGTAGCTTTGCGCTGACAATGAACATTTAGGTCTTTTGTTATAAATTCTATAACTATGGAAAGAAAGGTCATGTAGAGCTGGGAGATGTCTTATTTTAATCAGAAATTTACGGGCTACAATTGTGCCTCATTAAGAAAGATTTTGGTTACTTTTTAGAGTTTCTGAATAACTGGTTTTCCAGAAAATCGGATCTTTGAAAGGCTAACGAGGGAACCGCCCCACGTGTCCGGCTCCGATTTCATTCGTTCATACATCATTCGATAGAGGACCTCAAGTAGGCAAAAAGGCTAAAAGGATTTGGGCGGAGGGCCCTTTAAGATCCGGTTTTCTGGAAAACCAGTTTTTCAGAAACTCT